GTGCTGACTGCGGTGTTCATATGCCTCTAAAAAATATCACTATACTCTAAATGAAAGATAAAGTCATCTCTAGATCATTCATGGTCAACTAACTTGGCATCATTTGTCCCAAAACCTCTCATGGTAAACGCATGTCTGGGGAAAGTATGATAAATTTAGTCAGTGAGAAATTTTTATCCATTTGCTGTCTCCGTGATACATTCAGCTTCTTAGATTCTACAGGACATCTTGAGCTAAAGAATGAAAGATCTTTACATTGAAGGCCGTGTCGCTCGTCAACCGTGTTCCCTTAAAAAGCAATAGACTATTTATGCGACGTCGTTCGAATATATCAGTTGAACGTCAGCCTTTCGAACAACCGGTTGAAAAAGCTACTCATGCTGTTTGCTAGTGTCATACAATTGCAGTTTAACAGATTAATATACAGTCAAAAGACGGAGTAGCATTGGGCTCACCACTAGGACCGCTGCTGGCAGATGTATTCACAATCATCTTAGAGAACAACTACCTGAGCGGAGTCATCGGCGTATTACCCTATTACGATCAAAATGTGGATGCTATATTTTGTGTGACAGTCAGTGTTGCATAGAGCAAATTTTATTCCATTTTAACTTCGCGCACAGCGTAGCTGAAGTAACTCCGGAACCTGAATTCATGGTACATTGTCCTACGCAGAAGTTCAAAATAACATAAGATCAGATGGGTCGATCCAACACAGGGTGCACAGAAAAGCCACCTGGAATAGACAATACATACATTTTGCCAACTTTATCCTAATAAACAAGAAGCGGAACTTGGTTAGATGTTTAACGGAAAGGGCACGAAGATGTAGTGAGGAGACGCTTCCGGACGAACTGAATTACTTAAGAGGTGCTTTTGAGAGAAATGGATATCCCGAATAGTCCGTTCGGAGTAAAATGACTACCGAGAAGCGAAGGCTAAAACCGATTCAGTTGGAAAAAAGTTGGTTTAACTATCGTTGTCGTTCATATGGGATGAAATAGCGCAGGTGACTTTTAGAAGGCTGTCCGATCGCCTAAACTGTACCTGCTACGCAGCACACTTACGGCTAAAGTTTACTGTAACGCCAATCGTAAGGCTCCAACTAAAGGACCGACTTCCTCGGTCAAGCACTTCTTCTGTGTATACTCCTTCACCTGTTCATATCTGGCAAGTTATATAGGAAGAAAACCCAGGGGATTGTCTGAGCAAATCCGTGAGCCTTGCCCGACTTGGATGTGCGAAGGTGGAACAAAAACAGTGACGAGCCTCTTGTTATCACATTTAGTTGCTTTTAACGACCAAATCGATGCGTACTAATGTTTTCAGCAAATTTACAGTGTGCCTAGATGCTGCACACAAGTGGTAAAGTGCTACTTATTAGCAACAGCCGAAGCGATCGTTATCCTTCTCCAGAACCTAGAACTTTGTGCACAAAAACGATTTGTTCAGATTCTCTCTTTTCCCTTGCCCCATATCACAGTAACTCCTGCTGAGGAACATACCAGACATGTCCTTGACCATTTGTAGACCAACCACCTGACCTTCTCATATATGTAACCGAGACCTTCGACCCCTTGTCTGATGTTAAAACTCAATTTATTCGTGGCGGTTGTGGTCTACAAGCATGACGAGATCCACCTAAAACAACCTTCTTTGAAGACTCCTTTGTTAAATTTATAGAATTTGCTTTTGATGCCCTCAGACATAAGGTGTTTTCAGTAACCTGTACTATATATCATTTAAGTTTGTGAATTCATTCATTAACCCCAGTTGGCTATACGGCTTCTTATCATCTACCTTGGACTGCTTCATAATGACTACCTCTTACTTATATGATTGATTAAGCGTCTTTCTAAATGAAATGGCTTGACTGCAGGTTCATTAGTTTATTCTTTCGAGGCAAATCGACGTTTGCAATTACTTATTTCTACGTGTAAAAATTCAAAAGTTGATTCTCCCGCACTTTATTGTACAGTACCAGGGTCTGGCCTTATGTATGCCGTTTGCTTGTTGACCAAAAGAAACTCCAATACATTCTGCGCAAGAGGTTGTTAGAAGGATATTTTGCATATGTTCACTTTTGCTCCACATTAATATATAGCATATTGATATGCTAAACTTATTACAGTTAGTAAACATTTATGAGTTAACTTGACTCAATCTTCTGTGAGTTAGAAAGTTACAAGTGTGCGTGACCGTGCTACGCCTTCAGTACATCTCTCACCAATAGACATCTGATCGAGAGTTAAATGGACCATATTTGATAGAGCAGAAAACCTAATATATGTTGAGGCTGCAAAGAATAACGTTTTGTATGTGTGATACCAAAGGTATTACTTTGCATCGACTCATCCTGTGAGAGAACTCTACAACATGTAGCACGTCACATACGTTTTTTACTGAAACATACCTGATACCTCAACAACCAGAGTCGACAGACTGCAAAACTCCATAGCTTATGACTCAAAACGTCGCCTAACCCTCGCAGTGCATCGGCCCGCACACACATCCTCAGAACCGGGTGATGCAGATTCAGACTGTCCGCTCGAATGCAGTGTCAAACATCTCGCGATAGATCAACTAGTGTGTTCAGTTCACACTTCATTACTTTCGTCCCTTACCCTTGGCTTAATGTGTTGCATGTATTCCACATGGACGATTTGAAGACCGTCACCATGAGAGCCAATGTGTGCGTGCGTGTGAAGATGGTGGTCGTGATTGCTAGACGGAACAAACAATTGCAAACCAAACTCGGCGCCCAGTTCATCACACCTGATAGCGTTCACCGTGTATTCTTATAGTAGCCAACAATGTGCCAAGGAAGGTGACCAGAAAGCGCATGGAGCCACCGAGACGTGTTCGAGTTTGTGTGTGCGCTTGCCCAAGGCGTGCGACTCAAACAGCTGTTCAACATGCGCGCAGTGAAGCAGAAGGTTGGTGGAATGTGCATGAGCATAAAAGTCTTCAAAACCAATAACGAAAATTTTCAATGCACCATTAAATATTCAAGGAAGCTTAATTTTAATTGTGCGAGATCTAAGTGTGGTCGTGCGAACTTCATCAATCGTGAGGAGGCGATTTTGCCTCTCACTGCTCTGATTGTCAGAATGTCAGACTAGATGGCTACTACACCTGACGTACTTCCCGAAACTGAATACGTGATCCACTTTTATTTTGGTTTTAAAAAACAAGAGCTTTTTGTAGATATTTTATGGAAGTATACCAGTTGCAATCTTTATCTCACGTATCCTGCCTGTTGGATTTTATACGAATTAGTTCCATAATCAGAAGTGAACTATACCGTCGTACGACTTTTATCGATGTGTGATAGCCGACTAGTTGAGTTTAGCAACAAAAATTTTTCTCCAAAGAAAATAACGCCCATAGTACTTACTAGTAAGTAACTTTGTCACATATAAAAATTCCATCGTCGTTGCTAGCGAAATAATATCCAGATACTTGTATTTTACCCGATTTTCAGCAAATCAGGTTGTTTCAGCTGATTATGATCTCGTTGGATTTAAATCGCCAAACGTTGTCCGCTCAGGCGCAGGGAAACAGTACTTGACAAATTTTAAGCAGCAATTTGCGGATGAACTTATAGATTAGCAGTTTGTAAAATGGCTGTTAAAAATTTGGAGCCACCTTTTGGATTCCTTGAGCGTGGTACGGGCTCATAACCATCAGGGGCACTTATGCATATATATCAGTGAATAGGTCATGTTTAGGACTATGAAGCGATTTGATTCACGCTAAAATAATGGATGTCGTCTTTTTTCCACCAGCCGCCATCTGATAAGCGGAAAATCCCTTAGTGCACATCTATAGATGAATCACGGCAGTGGTTGGGTTGGAATGTCTTGCAGTACGAATGGAAAACTCGCAGTTCCTGCTTGCATCCTCATGAATAGTTAATCAGACAGTCTTTTGGCTGATATGTAACCACGGAGCTTATTGAGCGGTATGGGATTCCGCATTGACTAATATATTTGCTCGGCAGTCAAGTTGGCAATTTGGTGGAGGAAAAACATGACATTCATGCAAGTAACTTAAGAAGGCATTCTGATATAAATAAGAAATAGAAATTGTTGAAGTGAACTGTGCTCGTTGTCGTAGAAGTTTGCTTTTTCATCTATTCGGTGAATCTCTACCAGCATTCAATAATGTTCGATCTTTTAGGTAACAGGGAACTTGGCGAATGTGATGAAGGAGCTTAAGGATGTAAGCACGAATCGAACAATTTCTAAACAGCTTTCGCCACGGGATAACGTACAGTCTGCAATTCAACCTGATGAAATTGCCCTTTGCTTTACTGTTCCAAAGAGTTTTATATGCTGTTGTCCACAAAATAACAGTTAGATCAGTTGCAAGCCCTGTGACCAGATTTACTGCCTATTATACTTTTGCAGCGTTGTTCACGCCAAGCATATGCTACATGCAGATGCAATCTCGTGGCGGTGATGCAAATGGGAGTTGCTATTTTTCGCAGATCCCATTCAAATGACCAGTCGGCTGTGATGCACGTCTTTTCCACTTGTACCTGCTACATGATCGAGAGTAAATTGGCCAAATGTGATAAATCCAACTAAAGACCTTCTGACAACAAAATTTCCTGTACATCAGCAGCACTAGAGACTAGAAATGCTCTCCGAGCTCCCAACTTAGCCCTTACGGGCATCGACTCTACCCAGAAATTTCTGTTTTCCAAGGTGACAATGCGTCAAATGGAAAGAATAGGTTACCGCTTTGGTAAAACTTAATGGGTTATATCAGTGGATGAGTGTCCAATCCATCATCGCTCGTTGAATATCTAGGGGGTATGCTACACTCTATTCTGGACAAGAAGCTGTGGTCCGTAATTGCTTAATATAACAGCCCACTGCCCCCCAATTAAATCTGCCATACTTAGATACATGCCAATAGAGTTAGACTTTTATGTACGTAATTCACTGTCTCTTTTGATATTCATCATTTGACCGAGTATTAAGTGAACTCACTTTTAATCGCTTCTGTAACGCTCGGTTTTAAACGCTGCTTGTATATTCCTTCGCCTGATAGCGATGAAGCTGCCAACTCATCTTGAGTAAAAAAGCTCTTCATCAGTAGGCGGATCAGGCGAGTTGCACTGCCCGAAGATTTGACGATCAGGCTGTAGAAAATATCCTTGGAGATTGTCACGTTCGGGTGGGCCTCCGAAAGCAGGATTTGACCCTGAGAAGCAGACATTTAAATTAAGCAGTTAGACAAAATACCTAAAGCGAGAAATTTGTGTTTCACGGCATTCGCGAGTGAATGTTAACCACTCAAACCAGCCGAGTGCATATTAAAACATTACGCAATTTATTTTTCGTATAAAGTTTTTACGATTGCAAAATGCGAGTTTTCGTATAGAGAAAACACTTCATTTTAAAAACTAAAGCTGGTATGGTAATTGTCAGGTTTTGTGCACCCATTGATGAGAATGGTCAAGATTCTGACTAGCAAGTCATTTGTCAGCCCCACTAGTTTAAGTAAAGGTTGAAATGTTATTTTATTTCCAACTAGCTATGGAAATAGTCAAACATTAATCGAATATTGTCTCGCACATGCTTAGTGTTAAAACAGCAATTTGTAACTACTGCGCGCAAACTAAGCAACTACTACCGTATAATGCTGATAATTGCCTAAGTGGGAGAAGAAAGGTTTATCTCGCCAAACCATGTGGCTGAAGTACTCATCTTGATTAAGAAACATGGTGACACGTTTGTCGGTTTTGCAGGGTAATGCACTTGACCTATTCAATATAAGGGCCTGTTCTTTGGGCCCATAGACTGGAGGTAAATACCAACCTTGCTTAACTGACGTTGAGGTTACGTCACATGATGTGCACTGTGCTATCGGCACCATGGTGAACTCAAAACCAGTGAACGTTAGACATGTGACTTCGGCAATATCGTCACTTTAAAGTGCATTTATGGTTATTATTCACTATTATCTGTGCGACATTGAACGCATCAAAGAACACGCATTCTGAATTTGATTGTCATTAGTTTTGCTGAAAGCGCTGTGTGGCATCTGCACTACTCAAGTACTTGTACCTTAACGACAGACGAGTGGTGGAACCGTTTTGTCTGATTAGCGTAGGTGGAAATTTATCCTGCTTAAGATAGCTGCAGTCGTATGTCGTGCGGTATGAACAACCTCGGCGACATTGGTTAAAGAAAAGTGAAATACCGGTCAAAAATATGCTTGAGGTCAGAACGTAGGTGGCCCGTAATTTACGAGAATACTTCGGGGGATTGAGTACTATAACGGTATTTATTGACTATCACACACGGTTATCGAAACACTAAATAACCTGTACTCGTCAATGTTTCAGCCTTTTCGAGCCTCTAGTGCACTGTAACATGAGTGGCTCAAATTCCCACGCTTGTACCATGAGGAAACATACGCAGGAATACCTGACAAAAATCACGCCTCACGGTCGCACTCTATATTGGCTCTCACTTGACCCTCTTTGGGCATTCCAACTGTCCTCACGCTTTCTTGTGCGTACGCTCTTTCTAAACAGTCCGCCGAGCCCTACTCACTACATTCCACCACTTAGATCTAACTCCTGTGGAGCTTGCCGGTGCACCATTTCGAAGTTTGGCCTATTCTTTATCAAGATCCACGTGTATAATAACATCACTCCCGCGACTTTCGGGATCTCATTCATAAGGATATGCTAAGGACTGTTAAACTACTAGGCAAGCATCCTTGCAGGCAGCAGCACCAAAAAGTCAATGGGCACCTTTTTGTCGCTCATTCGGTAAACGACGTGTCCTAGGCACTTAGGGTTGTCTGTCAGCGCCCCGCAGGCATCATTGCGTAACTCGGTCCGATCAATGCACACAGCATCTTCTTGCGGGTGCGTGCACAGTGCTGCTGGCCAACCGATTGCTAAATCCGAACTCTGCGCAAGACCGCGCGAAAGAGAGGAAGCGAGGCACCCAGTTGTCTAGGCAAACGGCTTAGGCGCCGGAGCCCTCAGTTTAAGGTCCATGGTTGTACTGGCCGTCAAAACGCTTAGGTGCCCGGATGATCGCGAGTGTTCGACCTGCAGCGCCTATAGGCGCAGGTGGTGTGTGTGAAAAATAGTCAGAAAAGGCATTTCCTTTACAAACTGCTCCATCTAACTCCATAACAAATTTGGGAATATCAAACCAAGCGCGTTTAGGCTGAACCGCAGCAGGCCGGAATCATTTTATTTCTACGCGAAGTGTAATACCTACCCGTTAGTTAAGAGTGTAATTAGACCATCTTTGAAGTATACTAGACTGACAAAAGTGGATGAACAACTTATCGCCGTCAAAAGAGCGCACGTAGGAACAATCATAACGGAATGGCTGACACAGGTTTTATCACCGAAATCCACTGTTAACCACTTCCACAATTATTACAAACACTGCCAATAATCTAAATTACCAAAGCGTTCCAGGACGCAGCATCACCAGCCCATTAGCATTTATTTCCCCAGCAACCGTTTTTTCTCACGCCAGTCGTCCACAAAAAGCATGAAAACTGCCAATGATATTGACAACTTGACCGTAGTTGCACACAATGGCACTCAAAAATCAGCAGCTATTGTTTCTACTACCACACCGGAAACTAATATGAGAGGCAACGCCGTACCGACTAGTAGTAAATCGCATGCTAGCCCCGCCACTATGCGTACTTTCTTGAAAGAGGCTGAAAAACGACTGAATGCCTTATCCATTATAAGTGGCAACGTGCCGGAGTCAACAAACAAATGCTTTGCAATAATAGCAGGTGGATGACTAGTACCAATATATCACCATAAGCAATCTGTTTGGTAGCCTGATTAGGCTATCCAACCTGATGAGCATCAATTGCCATCTAAATTCCAACCACTAGGATAAAGCCGCATTTCTTCGGATTGTGCTTAGATCTGTCGATGAGGTTGCAGCATCCTTAATTTCAAAAAGTCGTCTGCAGAACGCATCATGTTTGGACCACGCCTTGCCAGATGTTCCTTGAAGCAAGCGCAATCGAGCGAAGCAGTGCATAGCAGAGATCCGCCTAGACACGGCAATCAAGACGGTTTTTGTCCATGGCGTTCCTCAGTCACATGTGCCCGATGCATGCGAAACAGACTTGCAACGAGGAGCCGTAGCCTTATGTTCATGAGAACATGCTCTTGGATAACATTGTACCTACTTCTCGTTTAATGCTGTGAGTGCTGCGTGCATGACCCATAAGTTGCGAGAACACCAGAGAAGTTTTGGCTACATAACGATATTTTCTGAAGGATACACCCAGTTAGCGATCTACAATATACCCTGAAGTCACTAAGCCTTCAGACTTTTCAAGCGTCTAGGCCCAGTAACTCGGGCGACTCAATTACCCAGGCTTTTCCAAGAGAAAACACCCGCTGGGATTGATGCCCAAGGGACGATGGTAGACGGTCAGACTGGGTAAAGTTTTGTATTGACAGGAGAGACTAGATTTCTTAGCTCTAGTGTGTAAGTTAAAAATGAATATAGTTTAATTCCTTGATCCACAAACTGACGACTAACTGATGTTCGAGGTTAGGTTGCACTGAAGCAAAATTCCAGCTGGCATTGATCAGATAAGTAACCGAAACAGCTTAATTCCCCCCAGCGGATCAAAGATGTATCAATGCAAAGTGATTTTAACTACGGCCTTCTTGTAGAGGAAAACTATGGGACGCAATCTTGTCTATTACTCCGCCTAGTGCAAAAATATACTTTAACTTTTTTGAAACAATCGAAGCATTTTTGAAAACGTTCCTGAAGTACAAAGTTAAGAAACCTACTTGTACTGATATTGAACGAACCTGAGTGCTACTAGCTTATTATGCTGTTTTGTCAGTTTTTCTCAGCATCATTTTGTCACACAAACATGTGTTCAAATACACACAACCCATCTTCATGAACACTATCTCGTACACTCCATCTTTCGTATCAAGTTTGTGTGGAGCGCCTTCTATCTGCTTATTGAGGTTTGCGCAACATTCCTGCAAAAATATAATTGAGAAAATGTTCGAATCATGAACCACACAGCAATATTAGTGGTAGCAAACAAAAGCTATCTCCACTTTTTATCCCACGAGTCAGCAGTGGACCGTTCATCAAAGTAGTTATGGTACACTTTGTGCCCATGTGCCGTGTGCCGTGTGAACGACCTAGCCGCTTAAACCTACCCCGGCCAGACGCACAGACCGCGACGACCTTGAACATGCAGACAATTCAACACAAACGCGACCAGCAAAAATCATAAGCGCTCGGGCTTTGATCGGAATAGCACCGATAGACGCAAAGGATTGTGACGACCAATCAAAGCCCATGTGCTCGCATCCAGATCCACAGTATTTTGTGACACTTCTTCAAGCCATAAATTGTACGAATTGTAATGCAGTGTAGCAGTTGGCAGAGTAAGTTCTATCGCAAATGTTACAAGCTCACAGCGACACAGTTGAATCTACACAATAGTAACCCAGATTCACTGTAGTTTTGTTCAGTATGTATAATCATGGGACTGGTAAAGTTTGCACATGAACTATCGCAGAAGTACTGATGACTGGTAGTAATGATTAAACAAATGAGGAGAACTAAAAGCCATTCCTTTTATGAAAACGTGAAAGAGAATAAATCCCATCCATTTCAGTCAGGTTCGGCATTAAAACTAAGGAAGGAGTTTAAGCAACACGCTAACACTGTACCATCTGTAGCTTTAAACATCAATACCACCATTTGCCCGAATATTCTTGAAACAACCATTGCCAGTCCGATTGCAGTGAGCATGGTCAGGACCTGGTCCACCCGGTACCGAAAATTCTGAAGGAATTCGACACCAGTGGTGGTTGGAACTTGGTTGATGCCAAAGGTGACCAAAAACCTAGACCTTCGGCAACACTCACTGGACCATTAAAGGAAGAAGACGAATCTGTACTCACACAACCTCCATAGGCTGTATACAGGCCACCTGGTCTTTTAACATCAACCCGAGTTGCAGGTAGCATACCAGCTGCGTTACAGAATCAACGTCAAATTCCTTAAAAGAAAAACCGCTTGATGCGGTTAACCAGTGGAACTGCTAATGTGACAGTATAGGTGTTGTATCTAAGCCCATCAATTTGACAGGCCTTACTTGTCGCCCATACTCACAACAATACGAGGAAACAATAGTTCTCTGAGTTGTGTTGACGT